GCCTCATTGTCTCCCTTCTTCTGTTTGTCTGTGTATTCTTTCGCTATCCCTATCGCCGCTGGATCTCCCCTCCTCGTGAACCAAACACACGTGACAACTATGTCGGGGCCAGACCCCGGCAGTTCTCTTCAATGAACAAGCTATGGGATCTCTTACCAAAAACAGGACCAGAAAGGGATTTTAGAAACTTATAGTGGCCATGGGCGAGAGAGAATACGTCCCATGTTGGCTTTGGGGAATTACTAAGAAAAAATAGTATTCTGGTCACCTCAGAGAATGTAAGCAGGCTGACCGGAGAGTGGCTACCATCTGAGGGGTCTGGGCGTTCTGAAACGAGTAAGTTAGGCCAGTGGACTTTGTGGATGTGGTTCTGTGCTGGTGTATGAGAACATAACTGGGAGGAAGTCTAGAGAATTAATAAGAGAAGGCTTTGCAAATAAAATTCTATCATAGACCTGAATAGCAGCTGTTTATCCCAGGGGATCAAAAGAAGTGAGTTGATTTTGCTTTGATTTGTGATTGTTGTTGTGTTAAGTGCCTTCCAGGAGGTTCTGACTCGTTTGTTATTGTAAAGTGCCTTTGAGTCAGTTTTGACTCACAGCGACTGTAAAAGGTTTCCGAAGAGCAGCTGGTGAGCTTGAACTGCCAACCTTGTGGTTCAAACTGACCTTGCATTTATAAGTGGTAATGAATATATTCTTATTTTTGTGAACAAATAGCTAATATTATTTCGGTTTGAATTTTGCTTGCATATAATGTGGTAAGGTTTGAATCTCAAAATAAATTTCAATTCTACAACCTGACATGGTTTCTGAATCATGGGATGCTGGGTCTTCATACTAAGAACAAAGCTAAGTGGACTAGCCAAGCTCAGATCTACCTGGTAAGTTAGCAATCAGTGTCATACACAGGCAGGGATGGCACCGTGACAATATGTCTCCAATAGGTCTCTTACTCTGTGGTACCGTGAATTGATCTGAAATGACTTTTCTATCCAAAAAGTCTTAACTTCCACCAAATGGTTGGTTGGGACCACGGAGGACTCTCATACCAGGACTGGTTAGCGTTGCCATCCCGCTAAGTGTAAAAGGAGCCATTGCAGAAGCAAAAACACACACTTCCAGGACCATCAGGAAGGCAGAGCCATGAGTAGAGTGTGAGATCCCTACAGCAAAGTGGGTAGCATGGAGAGCCAGAGCAGCTGTGGGCTTGCCGGTCCATCGACCAGACCAAGCTGAGTGCCTAAGGCAGGAGGCTGGCTTGCAGAATATACCCTTCGGGTATTTACAGACAAGCTGAAGGAGCTTTGGAACACTTGTCTGAGCAGGACAGAGGCTGAGGGGCCACAGATAAGAGTGAGACCTGCTTGCAGTATGGCAGAGATGAGGCATTCCTGATGGGAGAGCTGCTTTTGAGTTGATTTTGACCCTGAATTGTGCCCTGTTCACTTCCCTAATAAGCCCACAGTGATGAATATGTCTGTGAGTTCTGTGTGGCCGTTGCAAACGCCTTTTGCTCCCAGTGAGCCCTGGTGGGTTCGAACCTCCACCTTTTTGGCACTGAGGGATGAAGAACTAGACAGCATGGTCCGAGGCACAAACTCACAAGCTGCTCCTTGGAAACCTTTTACAGGGTTGCTATGGGTCGGCACTCAACAACAACACAACTACTAACCTACATGTTGGTTGTTCAAACTCACTTCGTCATGCTTTGGAAGAAAGGTCTGTGAATCTGCTTCCTCAAAATATGAAACTGACTTGGTCCTTAGGGACACTACAGGACACGGTAGAACCGTGGATCCTTGCGAAAGCCACCGCCACATCTTTCTCTCTCAGGTGATAGGTTCAAACAGCTGACCTTACAGTTAACAGTCAAGTGCTTTAACCATTGCCTCACCAGACCTTGTGGAGCAGATCTACCCTGGAACACACGGGGTTGCGATGAGTCAGAATGGAATCTGCAGTAACGGGTTTGATTTTTGTTTATTAGACATTCACGTACAGGTGACTAAACAGTTGGATAATTCAAATCAACTGCAGGACAATGGTTTTTTGTTTTTTTAAACCAGTCTGTACTTCAGGGGAGTGGTCTGGGACGGAAATGTAAATCTCCACCCAACATAATATTTTTGGTCAACACAAAAATAGTCCACGGCGTGGTGGTGGTGGTTTTGTGCGGTGGAATCGGTTCCGACTCACAGTGGCCCTGTACAGGGTCCACGGCGTAACTATTGCTTTATGGTGTCGACTCTGAATTGTTTATACAGCAACCTGCTTGCCAATAGGGCAGCTTTACCTAATTCATATTCTGTAACGTCCCATAAACAAAAATGTAACGATAAAGTATATCAGGCCCCGAACTATTAAGAATCCCCTTGATTCTATGACCTGCTTTACACCTAACCACAGCAGGCCAGAGCTGGGGGCTGGAGTTTGGCGTCATGCCTGTCAATCATTGAGATACCCAGTGGGGATTGGTGGAGAGCTGGTTAGGGGTTGGGGATAACTGGAGCCACACCCACTTTGAGTTGGAAGTGAGTTTTCTGCTGGCTGCTGCAGCGCTCGGCCTGTAGATAACCCGGAAGGAACGACCAATGGTTGTGCTTCAACGCCTGGGCGCTTTAGCAGCACGCGTTGCCCTGGGGTTCCCGGCCTGCAGGCTAGGTAAGATCGAAATAGGCCTTGTCGAGGAAAGGGAATCGGACCCTGGCTGAAGAGAGGCAACGCTCTCTTCCGGGGATGATCACTTGGGTAGGAGCCTGGACGTTGGCCACCCGCGGGGCCATTGCTGCGCTGCTCGTGTCTGCGCTGGCTCTCCACTTGCTGCCCCTACGCGCAGGTATACCGAGGCGTATGTCTGCGGCAGGAGGGAGGCGGGAGGCCTGGGTCCCTTTTCTGTGCATGAGACATCTGCAAAAGAGCTGCCTGCGTGTGAGAGCCAGGAATCCTCTGGTGGGCGCACCTCCGAGGTTCCCAGACCGAGTCCTGATCCGTGTGGCGCCATTAAGAGTGGACTAGGGGTGGCGAGTTGGGAGCGCGGCTGGAGGAGAGCCAGGAACCCCCATCTGTGCTCTACCTAGTCTGTGCGTGATTTTGCAGAGGGCAGAATGGGTGGCGGACCGGTCGCAGCACGGTGGCTGGGGCCGGCTGCCGGACATTCTGGAATATGGTGCAGCCCTGCAAGGCTGGGGAGGCGGCGCTTCCGCCTGTCACCCGAGCAGAGGCGGGGACGTCTGTGCGTGAGTGGCACCGAAGGGCGGAGGGAGACGGCAGGGTAGAGTAGCTGGGCGCACTGGAAAGGGTCGAGGAAAGTCGCGGGGGCAGAGCGGGACACGAGCCGAGAAGTGCATTAGTGGCACGGGGCGCGTGGCAGAGGAGCGGGTGTGCGCTCCTGGGGAAACCAAGGCCGTAATTGCCGCCGCCTGCGCGGTGAGTGAGGCTCGGGCAGGCGCTTGTCTGACCGCCGAAGCTTGTGATCGGAGCGACAGAGCCCTTGCGAGTGACCGAGCTGCCACGGCAGCTGCCGGGGTACGCTGGGCTGTAGAACGCAGCGCCGGGGCCTGGAGACTGTCAGGGCTCTCTGGCTTCACTGTACGTGTGCATGTGAATGGGGCTGCGGAGCGCTGCTATACAGTCCCTTTTAAACTTTGTTTCTGCGGCCGGCGGAGCAGCCGGAGGGGCGGCTGCCTCGCGTCCCGAGCCCCGTAGTTTACTGGAGACATGTAAAGCGCAGCGGGGTGTGCGCCCTACGGCTCCTGGCGCTGTTGATACGGAGCTGCCCTCACTCGCCCAGGCTACCCGGCGAAGGGTCTGCGTTCGGTCAGGCTCTTCCTTTCCCTGCTGCTTTTGCCGGGTTCGTGGCCCCCTTCCACGTCCCTACCTGGCCTGGGCACGATGATCGCCAACACCCGGGGCTTCCTGTGGTCTGACTTGGAGACACGAGCTCTGCTCGGCATCTGGGGCGAAGCGGATGTGCAGTCGGCTTTGGACGGGAACTTTCGGAACAGCCATGTGTACCGGGACGTGGCGTGCAGGCTCGCCCAGGTGGGCTTTGACCGGACCCCGGAACAGTGCCGCATCCGCATCAAGGGCTTGAAGCGCCAGTATTACCAGGCAAAGGAAGGTCTCCCCAAGGGCGGGCCTACGCGCAAGGCCTGCAAATTCTTCGATGAGATGGACCGTATCCTGGGCGCCCGGGCTGTCCCTGGCGGTCCCGCGGCCCACCGGGGAGGCCCCACAACGGGGGACGCGGTCGGCCGGGATCAGATAGCTGAGAAGGACTTGACAGGCGAAGGCTCCTCTTTTGCTGAGCATCCCATCAAGGTTGAGTGTGCCCCCTTCGCCATCCCCTTGCCGCCTGGCAACGGTAAGTGCAGCCTGTGTGTTTGTGTGGTGTGTTGTGTGCGTGTGTCCCCTTGTGGAGAGTTATCCCAAGAGATTCTTGTGACCAGAGCGTTAACCAGGTAGTTCACACTCTTCTTCCCTGGCCTCGGCTGTCTCATTTCTCACAAAAAGTAAGGAGATTGCTCTTACCGACCTTTGCATAGAAGTTAACTGGAAGCACTGAGAAAATAGTTATTTATCCCAGATTTCACAGCCAATAAGTGACAGAAATGGTAAAATGCACTCTCATGGAAAAGGAGAAAAGTTTTATTGTAGTAATTATTTGGAAGATTTTACCTTATACACATGGCTAGGGAATACTTGGTAGGAATTTCTGGCCTCTTGGTTTTGCCCAACACTTGTTCCAAATGTGTTGAAGGATTTCTTCCTGATTTCTACAGCTGACTACCAAGCAGAGGACTTCTGAGCATCACTTTATTTTGGTGGTGCTGGTAGTTATGGGCCAAGGGAGTCTGTTCCGACTCATAGCGACCCTGTATAGGGTTTCTGAGGCTGCAAATCTTTATAGAAACACAATGCCGACTCACTGGCTGGTAGACTCAAACTGCTGAACTTGGGTTAGCCCAGCTCTTAAACCCACTATACTACCAAAATAGCTCCTTAGATATCCCCCCTCCCCAACTTTTTGACTAAAATTCACACAATTTATGATTCGTTGGCACAGGTTTTTTTTTTTTTTTTAGCTTGTTTGAGGTTTTATTATAATAAAACTTTTAAGTACATTTTATAAGATGAACTTGCTAAGCTTTTAACAAATAGAGTTCTAGGTCATGCATTCCCAGGGGTACCATAGAGTGTCTCCATTCGCTTAAAGGTTACTGTGACATGCTAAATTAGTGATAATTTTGCACTGATTAAAAGCACCTTTGGCTCAGAGAACTCCGGATGCCAACAGTGCTGTAACTGACACTTAATTCTAGCAAACAGCCCAGTCTAAAGAAATCCCTGTAATTCTCTCCTATTCCTCAGCCAGACTTCTTTCAAAACAAACAGAAACCCGACAAACTTAACCTGTTTTTCCAGACTCGGAACTGTCATAAAGGCAAAATTCCTTAATGGGATCAGTTTGAAGTTGCCTTTTGTCAAGCCCTTTTTATTCTTTAGAACGTTGCTGTTTATATTTAGATACATCTGTGAGTAAGTCCCAATGGTGCATAATCAGGAAAGCCGGCTGAAACTTTGGGTTTACTCAAGTGTTGCTGCTTAGGTGCCGGCCAGCAGATTTCTACTCACAGTGACCCCATGTGAGAGAGTAGGACTGCTGCATATGGTTTTCTAGGCTGGGTCTTTATAGTAGCTGTAAGATAAGCGCTGGACTGTTAACCACAAGGCTTGGCAGTTAAAACTGCTGACCTTAAGATTAGCAGCCCGACTTGTAACCACTATGCTACCAGAGGTCCTGGCCATCACATTGTTGTTGTTAAGTGCCGTAGAGTCGATTCCGACCCATCGCAACCCTGTACAGGGTTTCCAAGGAGCAGCTGGTGAGCTTGGACTGCCGACCTTGCAGTTCGAACGGCTTTGCAGTCTGGCACATTAACTCACAGCACCACACCAGGACTCTGGCCATCGCATTAGGAGTCTGTTAATTAAATGTTTGTCCAAATATAGCAGGCTAATTTTTAAGCTGATCATTTCATATGGCCCACAGATGATGTTATAAATACCTAAATGGTCCTTGGCAGAAATGTTTCCCACCCCTTGTTTATAGGGTTGCTGTGAGTTGAAACTGACTACATCTAACAACAACACTTTTTATAGGAGGATCCTCCAGGTATTTTTCCTTGGGGTGGCGTCCAACCACAGACCTTATTGTTAGCTACTCAGCACTTAACTCTTGCACCACTAGAACTTATTTTTTTTTAATTTGTAGAGAAATGTCATTCTCTTTCATTTGATCCTTTATTAATAGAAGTTGCTTGTCTCATGCGAATGGGACGTCCTAATGGTAGTGAACACTTTGAATTTATACTTAACATTCACAGAATTCCAGTTAACACGTGAACATGTACTTCTCAATAGTGATAACTGAACCAGGATATAAGGTCTGTGGTTCAAACCCACCTGTTGCTCCTTGGAAACCCCTATGCAGATCACTGTGAGTCGGAAACGACTCAACAGCACTTAACAACATCACCAACGAACAGAGGGCATTTGTGAAGGATTTGATTTTTCTTTTGGTTGGTGAAGTGAATGCTTATTTAGTTGAAAAGTGATTTCTTTCGCCTAAGCACGTTAGCATTTTGGTAAAATAGTGTCTTTTGGGTGGCATTTTCACAGCTATTTCTTTTTGGGCCTTGGTGGTGGTGGTTATATACCGTGGAGTCGGTTCCAACTCATAGTACAGGGTTTTCAAGGCAGTAAATCTTTATAGGAGCAGAAAGCCTCTCATCTTTCACCTATGGAACTGCTGGTAGTTTCGAACTGCTGACCTTGAGATTAGCAGTCTGACTCGTAACCACTATGCTACTGGAGTGCCTTAGTGCCTTAGTTTCTTTTTTTTTTTTTTTTTAATTAAATGTTTTTATTTTGCATTGAGTGAAAGTTTACAGGGCACATCATCAGCTTCACATTCAACCATTCATATAGCTTGTTTCATTACATTGATTATTATCCCCGCTATATATCATCAGTTTACAGTGTTTCTCTCTATCCTCTTTAGCTTTTTTTTTTGGATGAGGGGGACTTGGCTTATTGGAATTTACAGTCTCGGCTTTTAGGGGAGGTTTTTACTTAGTTTCTTTATTAAAAGGCTAAACTGGTTATTAATAAGGAGTCAATGAAGATGTCTTTAATTCAGCAAACATTTATTGGGTGTTATATTCTGTGTAATCAGTTTGAGGCATTGGAGAGTAAGGGGGATGAAACATGGAAAAGACATGAATCCTGCCTTGTAGCCATTATCTGGGAGAGACGTTCCATTCTGTACAAGCAAAGTATAATTATGTATTTATCAGTTCGGAGGCGAAAACTCCATTTTATCCCTATCACATGATTTTTGTGTGTGTGTATTTGAAAGTCTGAGAATTCCTTATTTACTAATTAACCATTTAGTAGCTGTTCTTACTAGCTATTATCAAATTCAATTATGCTTTTAATGTAATTTAAAAATTGACCCATGTCTGAAAGGCAATTTTTCATATGTCAATCTTCAGTTATTCAGTTTAGTGAGAAGGCTGTAGGACTCTGAGGCTTGCTCCTCACGGTAACATCACAGCTCATAAACCGGGAAGACTGATAAAGTCTAAACAAAGTGTTTTTGTTGTTTACTGCCTTTGAGTCAGTTCTGACTCATAGTGACCCTGTATAGGGTTTCCGAGGATCTGCTGGTGAATTTGAACCGCCGTAGTACCAGAGTCCAGGTGTGTCGCTGCAGGATAATGCGCTGGACTGCAAGATCAGTTTGAGCAGCAAGGTTGATGGTTCAAACCCACCAGCCGTTCTTTGAAACCCCTACAGAGTCGCTATGAGTCAGAACCGACTCTATAGCACTTAACAATAAAAGCAGTGCCACAGGAGAGAGGAAGAAGAGATGAGTTTTACATACTGTGATCAAGCTGCTGAGAATGCTGTGGCATTTACATATTTTCAGCTCCAAAAAGATAAAGTAATAATTAAAAACAGTAAGGATCTCTAGTAGTGTAGTGGTTATGAATCGGGCTGCTAACCTCAGGGTCAGCAGTTCGAAACTACCAGCCATTCTGCAGGAGAAAGATGAGGCTTTCTGCTCCCGGAAAGATTTACAGCCTCGGAAACCCTGTACAGGGTCACTATGAATCAGAACTGACTCCACGGCACAGAACACCACCACCAACACTCCCATATTTGCTTTCTGTATATATAGATTACTGTGAATATGTGGAGTTTTTATATAATCAGGACATATATATATTTTTGGTTTATGGTAAATGGGACTTAAGCATTTTTGAAAAATGATTAACTGCAGTATAGATTTGTCTGCCAGGGTGGTTCAAATGCTTCCATAATATATTTATGATCCAAGAGCCTTGTTTGCTATCTTACCTTTCTAATAAAGTATATATTGAAGTAAATGAAGAATGACAAAATGTGCAGTTGTCCTAAATTGAGTAACAACAAAAATCATTGTTTTCTTTAAAAATTGTAGGCTTTAAGCATATTGGTGCTCAGACTAGTACAAATCATCTTTCGCAACCAAAAAGATTCAAAAAGCGGCATACCGGGATACCTCTGGACAAGATGATTGGCAAGCTTTTACAGCAAAGTGTGGCTGCAGAAGAGAAATTTTTCAGATACGAAGAGCAGAGGCTGAAAATGGAGGACAAGCACCGTGAAACAGAGCGAGCCAGAGAGCTCCAGATGTTGCAGATGTTGGGGCAAGTGCTGGCTGGGATTTCTTCAGCTGTCTCACAGAGGGCCCAGGCCAGGCCCCCAAGTCCACCGCAGCGGACACACCACCGGGCGTATGGAGATGATCTTAGTTTTAATGCTATGAGAGCTGCGCTTTCTCCTCCACTAGGTATTGCATTTTGACACACCATAGCTTGGTTGAGTGTCACCTCCTTTTTGTGATAGGTGGGTTCTTTTCTGGCTGTGAGGCAAAGTACAAACAGGTAGATCAGTATTTGTACATGATTTTTTAAAAAATCAGAAAAAAAAAAACCAACCCATTGCTATCAGTTCGCTTTAGACTCATAGAGCCCATACAGGATAGACCCAACTGCCCCATAGGGTTCCGATGTGGGCATCTTTACAGAAACAGAGCCACATCTTTCTTCCTTAGAGTGGCTGGTGGGGCTAAACCGGTGACCTTTCGGTTAGCAGCCCAGTAGCTAAACTACGTTGTCACCAGGGTTTCTTTTGATTCAAGATACTTGCTGTTTTTGATAGAAAGATGAAGTATTGTGCTGTAGGATACGCACTGGACTGCAAGGTTGCTTTAAACTGTAAGGTCGGCAGCTCAAGCTCACCAGCCGCTCCTCGGAAACAAGGTGGCTTGACGGCACTTAACAACAACAACATGTCTGTAGTGCTGTTGCTTTTTTAAAAGGCTTGTTGTTGTTGTTGTTGTTAAGTGCCCTAGAGTCGGTTCCGACCCATAGTGACCCTGTATAGGGTTTCCAAGGAGTGGCTGGTGAGCCTGAACTGCCGACCTTGCAGTTCAAACAGTTTTGCAGTCTGGTGCATTAACCCACAGTGCCACCCACACCAGCCTGAAATGTAAAATGTTGGTGTTTATAAAGTGTGAATCTTAAGTAATTGGGGGAAGGACGCTTTCTAAAAGATGTACAGATTTACTTCCTCTTCTTAGGGTTTATCAAACACTGCTACTAATTTAACAATCATTTTCCTCAGGCCATTAGATTGGCATAAAATGTTAATTTTTAATAGCCGTATCTTGAGGTCTAGCTAAATTGTTTTATTCCAATGTGATTTTAGAGCATGGTGACTTTGTAGGATAAGCACTGGACTGTGAACCATAAGGTCAGCACTTTGAGCCCACCAGTTCTGTGGGAGGAAGATGAGGCTTTCTGCTCCCGCAAAGATATATAGCTTTGGAAACCCTATACAGGGTCGCTCTGAGTCAAAACCAACTGAACAACGCTTGGTTACAACAGTAATGTGATTTTACATTTGAGCCACAATATATATTTGATGTGACTTTAAATATGACATAATTTGAAGTATTGTTCTATTTAAAGATGCTAAAACTACATTCATGTACCAGCAATTCTTAAACTGGGGCTGATTTTGTCCATCAAGGGGACATTTGGCAAGGTCTAGGGACATTTTCAATTGTTATAACTTGAGTGGGAAGTGTGTGTTCTGCGGTTCATAGAACACTTCCCAGCTCTCAACACAGAAGAAATTCTGATCTTTACCTATATGTTTTAATAAAGACAAGTGTATTATTTGAAAACTGTAATTTAACCTACTTGGAGGCACTTTTATAATGGGGTTCATAATACTTCTGTTTTGTTAATTTATGATACTTATTTATCTTCCTCTCATTTTTATTCCTTAGTGATCAGACAATACAAAACAACACAACCAGACCAGTTGCTGTTGAGTTAATTGAGGCCCATGGCAGCCCCAAGTGTATCTGAGAGTTTTCAGTGATCTTTCGGAACTAGATTGCCAAGCCTTCCTTTCGAGGCACATCTGTAGACGCTGACTGTCAGCCTCTTGGTTGGGAACCAAGCTCTGTTTGTCCCACTCTGAGACTATAAAGTAAAGGGCTTCTTGAGGTCACTGGTCACGTTTTATAACTTGTATAGAAATTCAGGAAGGAAATACTAGGTTACTTTTACTGTGATCTCTGCAAACATCATCATGGCTTAAAGAAAGAAGAAGGTTTGTGAAAACTCTGGTACATAGGATTTTATAAATCATTTATACTTGTTTATAGAACTTTTTTACTTGGCCAAGTTTTTACTGTAGTGTGGGCCTTTTTTTTTTTTTCTTTTTTCTTTTTGGTTGTAGAAACTTTAATAAAGTACTTACCCTTATAACTAATACAGGGTCTATAATTCTAATTCCATCTTGAATTCTGGTTTAGGGCAAAAGGTTTAAATTACTGCATATTGGGGTCAATTATAATAGTAACTTGACACATTTATCCTTGCTTTTCTATCTGGTAAAATTCTTGTTTTTAGACAGAAGGATTAGGGAAATTAAACATACCTCTTAGGACATACACCCTTTGAAGCCTTTTCTATTCCTGTATCTTACTGACAAACAGTAATAATGACTTTCATTTCTCTAGAGTGTCTCCTTATAATGAATTCTTAACTAATATGATATAATAAGTCAGCCAGTTCCGGAAAAGTTGATGAAAACCTCTGGTGTGGAAATAGTAAAACTCTTTGAAAGTAGGTGTTTCCAGCCTGTGTATTTATATCAAAGAGGAATCAATTTGATCTTAGGAATATTTCAGTTGTAGCTGAGAATTTAGTATGTAGTGAAAAGGCATGATTGAAAAAATACATTATAAGGAAGCCACAACAACCTTCGAATGACTGGTAAGTTGGGATTCTGTATTTACAGTTCCTTAACATGGTTTTAGGAATATTTTAGATGTAGCTGAGAATTTAGTATGTAGTGAAAAGGCATGATTAAAAAAATACATTTTAAGGAAACCACAACAACCTTGGAATGACTGGTAAGTTTGGATTCTGTATTAAAGTTCTTTACCTTAAAAAGGGGTCCTGGTGTGGCGCTGTAGGAGAAGCACTGGGCTGCTCACCTCAAGTCAGTGGTTCCAACCCACCAGTCCCTCAGAAACCCTATACAGAGTTGCTCTGAGTCAAAACCATTCAACAGCACTTAACAACAAAACTTTGAAAAGCAACTTTGTGTGTATTTCTTGTGAGGAATTTGAAGGAGTGAATATTCTCTAATGTTTTTTTTCCTATTGATCAATCATGTTGTTATTACGCTAGCTGTATAAAGGTTTGTAACAAATACATGTTAAGCACTTTCCTAACAGTTTAGAATCTTCCTCAGGGTCCAGTGATGTGGGAGTTCAGTCTAATTTTAGCAATGCTCATTCCTTTCCTACAGCTCATCAAAGATAGCTCCAGGGAAAAAGTGTTTCGCAATCACACTGTTCAAAAAATAGTGGTGTCTAATGTGTTTAAAGGCCCATAGTGAAAAGATAGTGTGTGATCTTGGGAGTCAAAGTGTGGGACAAGAAGACGGGAAGTTGGATAAATGGTGAGGGGAAGGAAAGAGTTAGTACATACAGGGTTGCTTTGTTAACTAAGTGGTGCACTGTTCTGCCTCTTGGCCTAGCTCCAGATCAGATGGGAAGTAGTTCTGCAGATGAAAGCTATTTACTTATTTCTCTGGGAGCAGACTGTCGGTTACAATCAAAGGCCATGGAGCTGAGGAATTAGCCAGCTGTATTTATTGCTGAGCAAACCTCCTTGTGTTTTTTTCTTGGCCTGAGGTTTACACAGTGATTCGATTTCGAGTTTCAATTCGGTGCTGGTTTGAAAGAAGGTGGAAAAGGGTTTGCTTTGACAGTAATTAATTTTATATTTTCATTTTATGACCTAAGCATCAGCTAAGGTATTTCTATCTACTCATTAAAGGAAATTATTTGGATAATTTTAATTGATTAAAAAACACATTTTTTTTTAAAAAGTAAATTTAAGAGAGTTCTATGAAAGATTAAACTTTTACCATATCAAACTGTGTCAGCTGTTGCTCGTTCGTTGAACTTTTGACACATCTCTAATTTTGCTCAGCTGCTGAGATATTTAGACGCCCTGGTGGCACAGCAGGATAAGTGCTAATCAAAAGGTTGGTGGTTCGAGCCCACCAGCCCATTCTGCTGGAGAAAAATGTGACAGTCTGCTTCTGTAAAGATTTATAGCTTTGGGAAACCTATGGGGCAGTTCTGCTCTGTCCTATAGAGTCACTGGGGGTCGAAATGCCCCAATGGCAGTGGGTTTGGGCTGAGATCATTAGAAGGAGAAATAGAGCCAGTTACCCTGTTTAAGAAAACCTGGTTCATACTTTCCAAGACCTTCCCATCCTAGAGAGAATATATGTTTTATCTGTTCATACGTTGGGCTCTACAGAACCATTAGCATGTCTCTCACAGTGGAGCTGTTTTATAATTAAGACAAAATATAGCAACGCTTTATATAGGAAGTTTTTCAAGAAAGACCCATCGGAATGTAGCGTTTAGAGATCATTTTAAATGGCCAAATTATTTTTACATGCCAACTTGAATCCAGTTTAAAATACCTGATGTCCATAGAATTTCATTTCTAGGTTATCTAATTAGTATTCAACTGAACGTTGGAAACGGAACTTGAAAACCTAAATTTGAACAACATGATGAAGCTGTCAGACTTTAAAATATGACAGTGGAAGGTAACAAATGGGAACTCGTTTTTCAGATTTCAGGGGATAGACGAGACCTAATAAGCTCAAAGGAAGCTTAAAATGTAAGTGATAAATATGTATAGTTTATGAAATAACACAGCTCTTTTAGCTTATAAAACTTTCTGAAAGACTAACATGTTTTCCAAAGGGTCTGAGCATTTGAAAAATAAATTTGTTATGTTGTTGTGTTCCATCCAGTCAGTTCCAACTCAGGTTGACCCTATAGGACAGACTGTTGTTATTGTTAAGTGCCTTCCAGTTGGATTAGGTATACCTTATCCTTGTGTGGCGCTGTGGGTTAATGTGCTGGACTGAAAAGTTGGTTTGAACCACAAGGTCGGCGGTTCAAGCTCACTAGTCGCTCCTTGAAAACCTTACACAGGGTTGCTATGGGTGGGAACTGACTGTACGACACTTAACAGCAACAACACTAGGTTTCTAAGGCTGTAATCTTTATGGAAGCAGAAGACTGCCAAGCATCTTTCTCCAGTGGAGCTTCTAGTGGGTTTGAATTGTCAACCCTTCAGCCAAGCATTTTAGCACTGTGCTCCCAGGACTCCTAAAATTTAATGTATGTAGCACATCATTGTCTTGTGTTATAGTTTCTGAACATCATTTGGTTACCAACATAAAATAGTGAAACCACTGGATAAAAATCTGTAGTATTCGTACTAAGTCAATTTAGGAAAGTATTTTCAGTTTATGGATTATTTGACTTAAAGTCCCTCTTCTTTCTGTATAGCAATAGATATTTACCTTTCTGAATGAATTTCGTTTTCCTGTTTTTCAGTTTTAGAAAGAGCATTTTCACTACATAAAGCACATTCGGTAAAGGATATGGAAAATGCTTTGCAGTTGGTGAAAAATATTATACCTCCTCTAACTACCAAAAAGCATAAAGGACAAGATGGACGAATAGGAATAGTTGGAGGTTGTCAAGAGTAAGTTACAAGTGTAAATGGATTGTCTATCTATCATCTATCTTTTTATGTATATAGATAGTCATTTGAATTACAAGGTCGGTGGTTCAAGCTCACCAGCTGCTCCTTGGAAACCCTCTACAGAGTTGCTATGGGTTGGAATTGACACGACGGCACTTAACAACTATATATATATTCATGTGTGCTTCTATATATGTACCTACCTGCCTATCTAGCTCTCTAGTTTGACCCCTGTAATCATTTCTGATGATACTCAATGTTTTTCAGTGGTCAATTTTCTGATTAAATAGGACAAAAACTCTTAAGTTGTAATTATAATTGGTCATTGTTAAGATTTTTGTCTGTGATGGGGTGCTGAAACTATTTGTAAATTTTATTTTATACTTTTATGTGTTTATCAGACTTTATATTATGGACACATGTTACTTTTATAATCAGGATGAAAATGCTCACTGTCTTCATTAGATTAATTTAAAGGTATTCCTAGCGGTATTCTTTATTGCATTTGACAGATCTGTTCTTCAGGACTTTGCATTATCTTGTGGTTTCGGAGATTCTGCTACTAAGTTGTTTGTACATAAAGATTTAAAATTTGTACCATTTTTTGTCACTGGTATTTATGAGGCGGCTTCAAAAAGTTCGTGGACAATGGAATTAAGAGAGAATGGAAATCCTCCATGACCTTTTTGAAGCCCCCTTGTGCCTGCTTAGTTTCTGTTTGTATTTGTGTCCTATCTCTTTGCCTGTCCTTTGGTGATCATTGTCATTTGTCACGTCGTTAAGGAGGCCCTGAGTGTTGCAAATCGTTAAACACTGGACTACTACTAATTGAAAGATTGATGATTCAAATCTACCCAGAGACATGTTAGAAGACAAATTTGGTCCCCTGCTTCCAAAAGGTCACACAGTCTTGAAAACTCTATGAAACAATTCTACGCTGTCAAACTGGGTTACCAAGAATTGGAATGGACTAATGACATCAATCACTTAGATATATTTAGTATAAGTAATGTATAGCTGGAGTCCTGGTGTGGCGCTGCAGGGTAATGCGCTGGACTGCATGGTCAGTTTGAACTGCAGCGTTGGCAGTTCAAACCCACCAGCTGCTCCTCAGAAACCCTATACTATGGGTCGCTATGAGTCAGAACCAACTTGATGGCGCTTAACAATAGCAACAGTGTATACCTCGATTTTGTGCTCTCAGTCTGACAGTGCCTGCCCTTTTTAATCGAGGAAATGAGTCCATTCATATTTAGAGTCTACCTCATCTCCTTTCTAAGATTTATTATATTTAGTTTTCATTTCACTTTGTGTTCTCATTTTTCGTTTCTTTATTTTTACTAGGCTTTTTCTTTTATTAATTTGGAAAGTCTACTTTCGAATGTAGCTAGTGGCTTCTCTCTTTGTAAAAAACTGTAGTTTGGGTGAATGGCTTCCCTTTCTAACTGTCGTAATTAAGTCAAACACATAAAGGAAGTTGGGGAGAGAGAATGTTCTTGGTGTTGGCCGATTTCTTCCTGCCCTCAGAAAGAAGAAAACTGGAGATGACTTTTAGTTCCTACTTTGCTCTTTTTGGCATGATGCTTCCTTAGTTACCAATGACACCAAGCGTTCCTAGCTAGAGGCTCTGTGAGAGAAAGGTGTGGCTGCCAGTTTCTGTAAAGATTTCAGCCTAGGACACTGTCTGGGGCAGTTCTCTGTCATTTAGGGTACCTATGAGTCGGCATCGACTTGGTGGCATGGGCTTATCAGCTACTTCGCACCCATTGTTATTTTCTCCCAATTTGTGTCCAACTTATTTCTGTCCTCCCAATTTTATGATATTCCCCTTTGCGTATGATTCCTGCCTCCGGGATTTTTGTTTCGCTTTACCCTCCCACTTGACCTTTGAAAGTCCCTTTTTATTAAAACTTTTATTTCTGTATTGACTTGAAATCTCTCAAAGCTTTTTATTGAGGGTTTGTCTTGAACTCTGCTGTCAGCTGATAGTCCAGATGTGTCTCTGTCCCTCCACCTCATTCTTCTTAGGTGTGTTATTGTACTTCTTTGCCTGGCTTGGTCAGGGCCAGCTGAAATGGTCTAGTATGGGTGAACTCTTGAGTTATGGAAGACACATGTTTCCACTTTTTGTGGATCAGCTACAAACAACTTTACCTAACGCACTGCTAAAACGTAGACACCAGAAGATGGCTTCCCTGGACAATTCCCTGGAGTCTAACTCCTGTCTCCATCTCACTGCCACTGGTCCTTTCGTGCCTACCCGGTGCTGAGGGGAAGCGGAGACCCATCGAGATCTCTTTTGTCCAGAAATCCTGGCCCATGTTCAGAAGTACCCAGTGGGGCTATGCCCTTCCTCCCCTAACAGAGTTGTGAGTCCGGGGTTTTCTTTCACACATGCACTCCTCCTACCTTACATTTTGAAAGGAATTTATATGGCCAAAATTGGCCCTCAGTGTTCCTTTTAGAGATAACTTTAGTAACATAGTACTCTAGCTTAAGATGTCTGTTAGCTTTATGGACTAACGTTTAAAAATGGATATGCATTTGTTCTCATTATCAAAGTAGTATTTGAGTCCTGGTGTGGTGCTGCAGGATAAGCACTGGACTGTTAACCGCAGGTTGATGGTTCAAACCCACCAGTTGCTGTTTGAAAACCCTATACAGGGTTGCTATGGGTCAGAATCGACTTGACGGCCCTTGCAACAATCTGGTTATTATGAAAGTTTGATGCACTATAAAGGCGTGTAAAGTGAAAGTCCTACAGTGCTCCACATAATAATCATACATCACTGACATGTTGTTAACCTTCCAGATTGTCCATGCTTAGAACTTTCACTTAATGCTATAATCTGGATAGTTTTCCTGTTGATTCATATACTCACAGATTTATTCTTTTTAAGTGAATTTATGATATTTATTGTAAGGAGTCCTGGTGTGCCTCTGTGGGTTAAGGCACTGAACTGCAGAGTTGGTTTCATCCACAAGGTCAGCGGTTCAAGCTCACCAGCTGCTCTTCAGAAACCCTATGTAGGGTTGCAGTGAGTTGGTACTTAACAACAACAACAACGTTGTAAGTTTGCTGTAGTTTATTCAACCAGTTCTTTATTGGTAGGTAGTGTTGTTGTTAGTAGGTTACTTGTAGTCTTCTGGGATTTTTTTTTTTTTTCTTCCCTATTAAGGAGCTCTGGTAGCATAGTGGTTACGAATCGGGCTG